TAGGGTGAATGTGCCATGTGGGTGGTACAATGTAGAGACTAACAAGACTAGCAGTGTATAGGTAAAAGTGAAGGGAAGCATTGCCAGAAAGGGAAGATAGGGCTGCATTCTAGAGAGTTTTGAATACCAAATAAATAAACCTGCACATGAGGCCACAGCCAGATAGTAAGGCTCCTATTTTCCATAAAAGAAATGTGTACTTTTATTTTTAAAATAATTCAACTGCTGCAGAAAAATGTAAATAAAAACTAAAAGTGTCTTCAATCTCCACTACCCAAAGTCACCATGATTAACAGTTTCTGGTGAAACTTGCCAGAAATGTATCTAAGTAGTTCTTTTAAAATCACAATCTTTATTTTTTATGCTATTATCTACTGCTGTTGCCCTGATGTAGCACAGTGACTCCATTGCATTATACCTGGGTTATACAAATGCTGAAAGCAAAAAGTGCCCATAAGTACTGCCTAGCCTGCTTAAAGAGAACTGGAAAAAAGAAATCACCAAGTTCTCTCTAAAAATTTAGAAAACCAAAATGCCTTTTCAGTTTTTGACAAATAATGCATCAGTGTAATCCTTCCCATTTGCACATGCTGATAGAGTCAACTCTGCTGGCATCCATAAAGAACATACAAATGTCCCAGGAATCTGATGTGACTCCTCACTAATGATATTTTCTGCTTCAGTCTTTCAGCCAAGAAATAATCAGAGACTAAGAAGGGGCCTCTCTTTCTGTCAGGGGTACACACAAAGAATGCGGTTTTAGATAATCCAGCTCTGCTAAAACATCAAATAGCATAGTGACAAGAACAAAATAACTACAGAAATGGAGTGGAAGGAAATGGGGAAGTGGAATTTGGTTATGTAAATATTCTCCTACAGGAAGTGATTGAGATAAAATAGCTAAACCAAGAGGTCCATGCTGGGGTTAGCATGAGACAGCTATGCCTGTTTAATACCTGACTCAAAGGTGAAGGAAAATGTAATCATTCTGAACATGAGGAAAATCACAATCAGGATTACAGTGTTAAGAAAACATACATTGAAAAACTCTTGGAAACATTAAAACAGAAGATCACATGATAGATCATATTAAAAGTCTACTAGGTATTTCTGGGTGTGAGGGAGTATTAATGGAAGCCAGGATCTTAATAAATTAATAAAATATTTAGAGCAGTTAGAAATTGCCAGAATCACATATTTCTTGACCATTTACATATAAAATATTTGCTTTTTATTGTCATCTTTCTGCTAAAACTCAACTTTCTCTTTGAGTAGCTCTGTATTACATTTTATGTCTATGAACTTACACATTTCCTTCACATACCCTAGGTTTTATCCAAACTGAACTGTTGCTTCTGCCATTTACAAGCTGACGTTCCTAACCTCTGTGCTTTTGTTCTCATGATTTGTTTCATTGGCGATTGTATTAGTCTGTTCTCATGTTGCTAATAAAGACATACCAGAGACTGGATAATTTATAAAGAAAAGAGGTTTAGTTGACTCACAGTTCCACATGGCTGGGGAGGCCTCACAATCATGGTGGAAAGCAAGAAGGAGCAAAGTCACATCTTACATGGTGGCAGACAAGAGAGAACTTGTGTAGGGGAACTCCCCATTATAAAACCATCAGATCTCGTAAGACTTATTCACTATCATGAGAACAGCACTGGAAAGACCCATCTCCATGATTCAATTATCTCTGACCAGGTCCATCCCACAACATGTAGGAATTATGGGAGCTAAAATTCAAAGTAAGTTTTGGGTGTGGACACAGCCAAACTATATCATTCCACCCCAGCCCCTCTCAAATCTCATGTCCTCACATTTCAAAACCAATCATGCCTTCCCAACAGTCGCCCAAAGTCTTTACTCATTTCAGTAATAACACAAAAGTCCATAGTCCAAAGTCTCATCTGAGACAAGGCAAGTTCCTTCCACCTGTGAGCCCATAAAATCAAAGGCAAGTTAGCTACTTTCTAGATACAGTGGGGGTATAGGCATCGGGTAGATATACCTGTTCCAAATGGGGGAAATTGGCCAAAACAAAGGGACTAGAGGCCCCATACAAGTCTGAAATCCAATAGGGCAGTCATTAAACCATAAAGTTCCAAAATGATCTCCTTCGACTCCATGTTTCACATCCAGGGCACACTGATGCAAGAGGTGGGCTCCCACAGCCGTGGGTAGCTCCACCCCTGTAACTTTGCATGGCACAGCTCCCCTCCCGGTTGCTTTCATGGCTTGGTGTTGAGTGTCTGTGACTTTTCCAGGTGCACCATGAAAACTGTTGGTGGATCTACCATTGTGTGGTCTAAGGGATGGTGGACCTCTTCTCCCAACTCCACTAGGCAGTCCCCCAGTGGAGACTGTGTGGGGGTTCCCATCCCTCATTTCCTTTCCACATTGCCTTAGCAGAGGTTCTTCATGAGGGCTCTACCTTTACAGCAAACTTTTGCCTGGACATTCACGTGTTTCCATACATCCTCTGAAATCTAAGCAGAGGTTCCAAAACCTATATTCTTGACTTCTCTGTATCCACACGCTCAATGTCATGTGGAAGCTGTCAAGATTGGGGCTTTCATCCCCCAAAGCCACAGCCTGAGCTGTACATTGGCCCCTTTTAGCCAGGACTGGAGAAGCTGGGAAGCAGGTCACCAGATCCCTAGGCTGCATACAACAGAGGGGCCCCGACCCAGCCCACAAAACCATGTTTTCCTCCTAGGCCTTGAGGTCTGTTATAGGAGGGCCTGTAGCAAAGGCCTCTAACATGTCCTGGAGATATTTTCCCTATTGTCTTGGTGATTAACATTCAGCTCCTTGTTACTTATGCAAATTTATGCAGCAGGCTTGAATTTCTTCCCAGAAAAATTGGTTTTTCTTTTCTATTGCATCACCAGGCTGCAAATTTTCCAAACTTTTATGCTCTACTTCCTCTTGAATGCTTTGCCGCTTAGAAATTTCTTCTACCAGACACCCTAAATTATCTCTCTCAAGTTCAAAGTTTCACAGATCTCTAGGGCAGGGGCAAAATTCCACTGGTTTGTTTGCTAAAACATAACAAGCATCACCTTTAGTTCCCAACAAGTTCCTCATCTCCATCTAAGACCACCACAGCCTGGACTTTAGTGTCCATATCACTATCAGCATTTTGGTCAAAGCCATTCAACAGGTCTCTAGGAAGTTCCAAACTTTCCCAAATCTTCCTATCTTCTGAGCCCTCCAAGTCTCTAGGAAGTTCCAAATATTCCCACATTTTCCTATCTTCTTCTGAGCCTTCCAAACTATTCCAACCTCTGCCTGCTACGCAGTTCCAAAGTCGCTTCCACCTTTTCAGGTATCTTTACAGCAGCAGATATGCTTTTTTTTCTTCATCCATTCTAAATTCACCCTCACACTGGGACGATCAAATCTTACCCTTCTTTCCAATTCAAATTCAAAAGCTCAACTCAAAAGCCACCTCTTCTATTAAGCTTTCCAAAATTTCACCCGTCACTCCTCTCTACCACACCCCACCACATCCACAAGTTTCCACCTTTGGAGGACTTTATCTTTATCTCTCACATGACATTTAGCACTGAGAGATTTTTGCATATTAAAAGTACATATTTTTCGTGTTCCTCTGGCCTGTAAACTCCTTGAGAAAAAGCTCCAAGTGGATGCATCTTTGTATTCCTCACTCAGCATATGCATCACAAACACATACATCACACGCCCACACACACACATACACCCATACGTGCATATAGACAACCACAGCACAACGACTTTAACCACCCAAATGCTCAATAAATATTTGAGGAAAGAAGGTGAGAAGGAATAAATGTAGACTGACATTATGGAAAGCAAAATACAGACAGTCCCTGATTCATGATGGTTCAACATACAATTTTTTGACTGTACAATGGTACAAAAGCAATATGCATTCAGTAGAAATCATACTTCCTATACTCACAATCATTCTGCTTTTCACTGTCAGTGCAATATTCAATGAATTACATGAGATATTCAACACTTTGTTATAAAACAGGCTTTGTATTAGATGATTTTGCCCAACTGTAAACTAATGTAAGTGTTATGAGCACATTTGAGGTAGGCTAGGCAAAATTGTGCTGTGCAGTAGATTAGGTATGTTAAATGCAATTTCAACTTATGATATTTTCAACTTACAATGGCTTTACCAGGACATAAACCTATTGTAAGTCATAAGATGAGGAGCATCTATATATTGGAGCAATCATATTATGTTGAGTTTATATGTAAAAAATTGAGAAGAGTTTTGCTCTAGTGCACTAGATAAGCTGACATATGAAAATCAATGACAATTCTTTCCACTGTCAATATGATTTTTATCATAAACTACAACTCAAAAAAGCCTATTATTAAATACTAACATTATTTCTAACCCTCACAGTAACTCAGTAATTACCCATTGTTATCTCCTATATTCCAAGTGAGGAAAATGAGTTTCAGAGAATTTAAGCAACTTGGACAAGACCATACAGCTAGCAAATAGCAGAGGTGGGAACTGAAACTAGTCCTGCCTTACTTCAAAGCCTGAGCCCTTTCCATTAGCACATTTTTAAAGCACTTTAACAACTAATATCTTATTTGTACCACACAGAAAAAAATGGTCAATTTTGGTGTTCTTTCTCTTGAACACCCCATTCACTCCTGCATCTTCCACTTCTACACTCTTACCATCCTCTTCAGTCCCACTGAGGCTCTATCATCACTCCTTCAGTAGTCTGCAAACCTTTAAAGACCATGTCATCCACTATGGACCTGTAGAGGTAAGCTTAAGCACTTAAAAGATAATGCCTCATAATTTTATCTAATTTTTAAAATGCTAAACTATAAAATTAAATTTTTTCTTTCACTGACCAAAATGTACATATGCTGAGATTTTAAGCTTCTTTCTAGATTTTCTGATATTATCTTTCCTTCTCCTTGCCTTCTCCTCTACCCTCTCTTTCTCCCCATATCCCTCCCTCTCTTTTTCTCTCTCCCTTTCTCCTTTTGTCCGTCTTTAGCCCCTCATCTCCCCACTTCTCCCTCCATCCTGTCTTTCCCCATCTCTCCCGCTTTGCTGGGACCATCAGCTTAAACTTAGTCTGACTTCTGGGTGAGCCAGCATTGGTAGGCTCCGGAGAGGAGAGGTCCAGGAAGTAGAGGAGAAGGACAGATCTCTACAATAAGTGCATCTCCAGAAGTGGGGTTATAGAAAAGTCCCCCATTCCTTTGTTAGGCTGTGAAGGTAGTTTCGTCAGCCCTGGTGAGGAAACTAAGGCACCCTGGTGCCTTCACAAGGATTTAGTGAAATCAGAGCATTAAAATCATTAAACATATCTGCTGCTAACATTAGGGACCATATTGGGTCAACTTTATAAGGAAATCAAATATAAGGCCACTGACAAGGTGTAATCTGAAGGACACCAAAATGATGTATCTGACCAAGGGCATCTCTCCTAACAGAATAGTCTTGAATGGATTGTAGTCTTTCAAAATATCCTATGAAAATGCAAACACCCCCAAGAAAGATTTTTTAAAGCCTTACAAGTTAGTATTTCAGTAGGGCTTTACTTTCCCAATGTGACAACTGATCGAGAGGAAAAGCCTCCTAAGTATGGAATAAGAAATAAAATGAGAAGGTTGTAAATTCCAAAAAGGGAGATGAGTGACAAATTTTGACTCTTGTGTGGGATAGACTCTGTTTCCAAACCATTACTAGGTCCTCTGGGTCCTGGCCTTATGAGTAAAGAGAATTTTTGATCAGCCTTGTAACTTCCAGAGGAATTGGGAACTCCTACTGCCCCAGTGCTATATTATTGGGTGTTGTTGACAATGAAAAGTTTCAATCTGTACTAATCACATTATGGGTTAAATTTAAGAAAGTGTTGTAGAAAGTGTTGCGAGTTATAATGTAACCATAGAAATAATATGTTAAATAAAACACACACCAGGATGGGACTGCCCCCAAGGGGTGACTGGCCCTTGCTTCAGAGACCTATAGGGTAAACTGTCCCATTGACTCTTTTTCAGGGTGGGAAAAGGGAGGGACAGAAGCTGGAGTTGCTTAAAGATGCAGCCCAGCCAGCTTAGGGAAGGAAGACCCTGGCAGAGACCTAAAACGTTTAGTTTGTGTATTTGTAGACAAAAGAAAATTATGAGCCAGTGGAATGTACAAAGTAGAACTGTATTTCATCCAACCTTTTCTTTCCTTTTCTCCCTAAGCTGACAATCAACATACGTAGCTTATTAACATAACTGAGACTGAATATTTCCTTTTAGTGTGTAGTCTTTTTATATCTGTTAAATGAGCATATTTGTCTCTTTTCTCCCTGAAATACTCATTTGCACAGTTAACAAAACCTCATTTACTTAAAATATTTTCATGACCATTCTAAAGGATCCATACATTCCATAATGTTGTGAATGTATGAAGAAGAATTAAAATGTAGGGGAAACATGATGAAAATTTGGATGTGATTACTCTCTTATTCTTACTTTCCTATTCTCACTTGACTAATTCAGGATACTAAAACCGTTTTAGGCATTTTGACAAAAATCTGTGTAGCTCCTTTTTCCACCCAGAAAATAATAATTCTCTATATTTAGGCAGCTTGAACTTGTACTTAAGGACGGTGAATTTGGTCTTTGCTCTTTAGTGTAGGGGGTTGGGGAAAGAAAGGTTTCTGTGTTTATATACTGAATAAATATTCCTGTAGGTAAGGCACTTTTCAGTGCTTTAGTCCATGAACTTTTTAAACATCTATCTTGGCTGCTTCACAATTCCAATCTTAATCTTTTAATCTTCCTGCTCAGGTGCCTCCAGTCCTGATTCTAGAGTACTATTTAGTAAACCAAACCATCCATAACCCAGTAAGGAAGAAAAGATAAAAGTTCCCAAGTTATAAAAAAATCAATGCTGTAAAATCGATGCACTGTAGATTTCTTTGTATGAGACCCCTTTCTCAGCCTCTACACAACTAGCATATTTACCTATTCAGTTTCCCAATTCGCAGGTGATTAAAAAGAATAACTTAAAATGAGATTACTGCTGCTACAGCTTATTATTATTATTATCATTAACCTTTATTTGGTGTTATTAGCTGCCAGACACTGTGCTAAGCCTTTTTTCACACATTATTTCACTGAATGTTTGACAACCCTATAAAGTCAAATAATATTAATAGCTTCATTTTACAGTTTCATAAACTAAGGTTTAGATTGTAATTATCAGAAAGATGAAGTAATTTGCCAAATTTGTATAGAGTAAGTATAGACAGGCATATAGGTAATAACATGACGGGCTATGTTACAACTTGATTGCAAAAGAGTAGAAAAATATAAAGGAAAAGAAAATATAAGAAGTTGGGAAGCATAGCAATTTGGAAGTTTTTAATTTGAAGACAGACAACTTTGTACCTCTCAGTAGCTTTCAGAGGGCAATACTGTGTTACAACAGTGTAAACTAGCTGGTTTGTGTACGTGAGAATCCAGACCATTAAAACTGGATTAAATTATATACAAAATCATTTCTTAAGAATGGATGAAGAGGTATAACATATGCTATAAATATTTCTGCTATTTATTAAATTTCAACTTGATGTCCAGTATCGAAACTTCAAACTCATTGATACAGAAATTGCTAAGCGTTAGGAAAGAGTTTCAATTAATAGTTGTTCCCTAACTAAGCCCGTTACAAATTCAGATGTTGGGAGTTCTCTTCTCTTTCTGTATAAAATAAATGTTAACTGTGTGTTTTGGCTTCTTGGAGGGCAGGAAGGCTTCAGTTATCTGAAAACTTCACATAAATAGAACATATCATCCCTGATGATGGTGGTATTTTTATATGTGTTGTTTTTCTAGAAAAATAAAAATTTGGAAGTTAAGGAAAGAATAAACTCGATTTGCAAAAGATTTTGTTTTTACTTTCAAAGCTTCTGCATTCAGATTCAGGTAGCCCAGTCTGTCAATTTGCTATGTTTTGGGCCAATTCCATCACTAGGGTTTATCCCATTATGCTGACTAATGCAAAACTGACCATTTGTAAAGGAGACATGGGACCATGGTTGACATGATGCGTGATTTGAAATGGCCAGATACAATCCTCAACCCCACTCCTCACTTGGATAAAAATAGTTGCCCCTAAGCCTTGCCTAAAATGGCCACATAGCCCATACCCAAGGCATAACTGTGATCTGGCATGAGAAGAGAAAGTGAGACTCTGAGTAGGGTCACTTCCCAAGAGGCCAGTCTTTAGTGGATGTCCTGAGTGCTACTTGGAGCACCTGATCAGTTCAGGGAAGCATGAGATCCTTGGTCCAGGACATTCAGAAAGAGCAGGGACTCTGTAAGACTGCTATAAGTACCCACCAACACAGTTGGTCTCCCTGACATTTGTACCCTTTTATACCTTTTCTAGATCTGTCCATGGTAAATTTTCCAAGAAAACATTGCAAGGAAAAACTCTAGGGACTGGATAGGTAGTAAGCAAGGGAAGGGGCTGAGGATTTGCAGGCTGTTCCCTGAGTGAGAAGTAAACAAATGGCCCAATTTGGACAGAGTAAGAGTAGGTTACATGAGACAGACATAAAAAATCACATCCCAAACCACTGTGGTCATTCAAAAATGTTTGCAACTTTTCACAAGGGCAGTGGTATTACTCCCAATTTCCTGGCCAAATATTCATTAAAGTAACCAAGGACTGAGTACATGAAGCTGCTTCACATCAGCACAGCATCCTACTTTCCTTGCAGCTCTGAACTGTGAGGTACTGTCAAAAAACTCTTCCACACTTTAAAAAGCTATGTTACTGAGGAGAGTTGGAATGTGTTCTGGGAGTGGGTGTGTTTGCTTGAGTTCAGTGTGTGCAGAAAAGGCAAGCCTCCACAGCCATTTACACATTTCGCTCCTCAGCGATGGGTACACAGACAGCCAAGCTCCTGGACTAAGTCTCTGAATGGTAACGTACATTTATAAAGATTATTTTCTTAACTATTTTGAGGCATTTTTATAAATAATATGCATGTGTCTGCTGAGGGCATATATATATATTTAGTCAACTTTTGCTTGTTTTCTCCTGAGGCTAGTCTTGTGTGGTTACTTATGTGGTATGATTTCTGAGGTGTCAGAAAGAGCTCCCTCCTACTTCCTACCACCCTAGTCACCCAAAAATATCTCTTGGGTTGGCCCACCGCAGAGTCTAAAATTCCCACATTGCTCAAACATTTGATTTAGTCACTGAAAGCAGCTTTTAAATTCCAAATGTTACATTGGAATATTAGGCAGGTATTCAAAATTAAAGACTATATAAAACAGAAAATAATGTGGAATAGTTGTTTTTGATATAATGTTAAGTTTCAAAGGATAAATGCAAAATGACATTCACAGTCTGGGATAGGTGCTGTTCTTAAAATGTCATGGAGTCAGATCCAGCATATATACCCCAGCTCATGAACATAAGCCTATGGTAAAAGAAACCCAGCATTGTTGGGCAGATTTTGTTTTGATTTATGTTGAATGTGTGCTTTCCACAGTTTCTGATCCTCAGCTCCCACTCTCTTCGCAGTGTATCTGATACTTCCCCTTACTGAGCTCCGGAGGCTCCTTCTTGCTGAGCTCCGGAGGCTCCCAGTGACCTCTTGATAATCAGCCTTGGTGGGGCCCAAATCCCTACCCCTTGGAAAACTCACTGAGCCTGACATCTGCCTGTAAGCAGCTTTCAGGAAAGATCTCACAAACGCCCACCCAATCTCTCTTGGTAGCAAACTGTCAAATCATGCCCATTTCCTCAAAAGATGGTGGAGGACTTAGCAGCCTCCTATATTGCTCTGAAATTGGAGAATGAAATTCTGCAGGCTCAAGTGCGGCAGCTGATGGAAGAAAATGCTACCCTCCGGGCCCAGATCTCAGAGCTTCAGAAGTCCCAAGCAGCCAAGGAGGATGATCTACTCCGAAAGTCCTCAGAGGCCAAGGAGCCCCAGAAGCTCCCAGAGCACACGAATCCCCCAGCAGCCTGGGAGTCCCAAAAGACCCCAGAGTTCAAGGAGCCCCAGAAGCCACCAGAGCCACAGGAGCTTCCACCCTGGGAACCCCCAGCAGCCTGGGAGCTCCAGGAGGCCCCAGCAGCCCCAGAGTCCCTGGAGCCTCCCGCAACCCAGGAGTCCCAGAAACCTCCAATGGCCCATGAGATTCCAGCAGTCTTGGAGGGCCAGGGGTCTGCAGACACCCAGGATCCCACATCAGCCCAAGAGCCCGAGAATTCAGAACTCCAGGATCCCCCAAATATTGAGAAGCCCCAGGAGGTAACAAAATGCCAGGAGACTGCAGCACAGCTAGAGTTCCGTGAGCTTCCAGCTCCCCAGGATCTTCTGGAGCCTTCAAATGCCCAGGAATTCCTAGAACTCTCAGCAACCCAGGAGTCCCTGGAGAGTCTAATAGTTGTGGAGACATTGGCAGCTCCAGAGTTTCCACAGGCCCCTATTGGGTTAGAGGCTACAGCTTTCCCCCTGGAATACCCTTTAACTTTCAATGGAGATTCCCAGAAGCTTCCCGAGTTCCTGGTTCAACTGAATAGTTACATGAGAGTCAAAGGGCACCTGTGTACCACTGAGGCAGCCCTGGTGAGCTTTGTTGGCAATTGCTTCTCAGATAAGGCAGGATGGTGGTTCCAGCTCTTACTGGATATCCAAAGCCCCTTACCGAGTCAATGTGAAAATTTCATACATGTGCTCCAGGATACTTTTGATAATCCTGAAAACATGGAAGATGCCAACCAGTGCATCTGTCAACTCTGCCAAGGGGAGGGTCATGTAACAACCCACTTCCACCTTGTTGCTCAAGAGCTGAACTGGGATGAAAACATTCTCTGCATTCAATTTCAAGAAGGGCTTTCCAGTTCTATACGAGATTAACTGTTTCACACAAGCCCAGCCACCAACCTATCTGATCTCATCACTCAGTGCATCAGCCTAGAAGAGAAGCCTGATCCCAATCCATTAGGGAAAAGCTCCTCTGCAGAGGGAGATGGGCCTGAGAGTCCACCAGATGAAAACCAACCTATGCAAGCTGCAATCAACTGTCCACACAACAGTGAAGCTGAATGGGCCCATTGGCGCAAAGGCCACTTATGCCTCTACTGTGGTTATCCTGGTAATTTTGCCAGAGATTGCCCTGTCAAGTCTCATCAAGCCCTGCAGGCAGGAAACTTTGAGGCCTGCCAGTAAGGGGGACCCCAGGAGGGCCAATCTACAAATATGCGTCCCCCTCTCTTCCAATATCGATGTCTCATACACTATGGCTTACTGTTGAAATCTGACTGAGCTCTGAAAGGAAGACAATTCTTTGAGCAAGCAATGGTAGATTCAGGCTCCTACAGAAACAGCATTGATCAGGCTGTGGTTCTTCGAGAGAAGCTGCCCCTCGCAGTAATATCTTCCCTCTGATGCTGGAAACTGTCGACGGCCGTCCACTTATTAATGGGCCCATAAATAAGGAAACATCACCTGTCAAAGTTAAAATTGGAGACCATGTAGTAGAGCTCCAGTTTGACATTATTCATGCACCACAATATCCTCTGAATCTTGGAATCTATTGGCTTGAGACACATGACCCAAACGTAGAATGCAGTACCCGCCTTGTGCCCTTTCCATCACGTTATTGCTTTGCTTTGCTACAATTGCTACATTCCTATGCTTTGCTACAATTGCTTCAGGCACAGGTGGAATAGAAGAAATCTTGATGAAATAATTGCTGGCTAGATCCTGTGTCCTAGTGATTGTTCCTGGCACCCTGTCTTCTGTTACCTCAGCTGTCATCAGCATTTACTGCTCCCTGAATATTCTACTGAACCTCTTGCTGTGTACTAAGGCTACCTGTACAACGACTCTGCCTCTTAGATGATAGACTGAACCTGATGACTTTGAGCTGCTTTTTTTTTCCACTAACTCTGCATGCCTCTATCTCAGAACCCTGCATTCTGCGGAACTGTTTAAATTACAATTTATACTAACAATACACATGAGAATAGATGTTAGAAACTAATAATGAAAAAGCGTAGCTGTTAAACTGACTTGATTTTTTTCTTATCAATATTTTCTATGTCATAAAATTGCAACATCTTTTACACAAAGAAAATAAGTTTGTAAGTGATATTTTTTAAAGAATCAATAAATATTAGCAATTTCTACTTCTGTTTGAATTATTTCTTGGCTTAGCTAGAGGAAGAGATAACAAACTAGTAAATTGGGAGGGAGAGAGGGAAATGGAAAATGTTCAAAGTTTAGGGAGGCTCCTAAACATTCCAGGTATAGTGACAGGTCTGCAGATGATAGAGAAATGATGTAGAGGGTAAGATGGAGAGAATAGGGAATGGTTAGGGCTGAAAGTGAGAGTAGGGAATGGTTAGGGCTGAAAGTGAGTGAAGTATGGACGGATTAGGGGAAAGGTAGAGGTAAGACTGAGAAGATGGTTTTGGGGAGATTGGGAGGAGGTTGAAGAGGGTTTAGAGGAGGATTGGGGTGCTGAAGAGAGGAGTTACAAGAGGGGGAAATTTCTACAAAAATAAAAAGAGCACTGACAAAGACATTGAACAGCTTTGAAGGCAAATGTCTTGGACTTCACAAGTTAACCAAACAAAGAAGTGCATTGGAGCAGGTAATGAGACCACTTCAGTGACCCAGCCCTTCCAGTAAAGTAAAAAATTCTTTTTCCCTGCAGCAGGCAAATTTTTCCTAGAACTACAGATTAATCTGCTCTTGCCAATGCACAGAAGGGTGGAAGGAATCAGCTTTTAACCCATGAAGAGTGTTAGTGGCCAACTGTTCCTCTCCTATACATACAAGTTACCCTGCACTGCTTAACCATGCTACTTGCATGACAAACATGGAGAGCCAAGCCAAGGAAAGGAACTTATGTCTTTACATGCCTGAGAGGGACTACTGCCTTGACTTAAAAACACACATATCACACACACATAAACACACATACACACACACCAGGGTCCACGGGATGGAAGAGGTAGAAGCTCCAGGTGAGGTGTGAGGAGTGTTCTAAGAAGAACCTAATGCTTTTCCTCTGTGTTTTCAACTTTCCCTTGGGAGCCTCTTGCACTGAGGTTGCTAAAAGTGGACTCTTTCCCTTATTTAGACAAATGTAGACAAAACAGCAAATAAATGATTGTAACCCTAGAAGGTAATGCGGAGAGGCTTACCATTCATTGGGCCACTAATACGTTCAGCTACAATGTCAGGCATTTAACACACATTAATCATCTCATTACTCCTCAGAACAATCCAGTGAAGCAGTTTGCTCCTGTTTTGGCAATGAGCAAACAGAATCCAAGCAAGGCTAATTCACTTGCCCAAAGCCACACAGCTAGTAAGTGATGAAGACCTGTTTGGCCTCCAAAGCCTTTGCCCTTTTCCCTACAGCATGCCAACCTCCATAATGCAGTGGTAAGGGCCAAACAAAATTATGGCAGCAGAGACCTAAGTGGGTCCCTTACATTTTCTCCTAAAAATGAGGGGAAAACTCAAAACAAAAGCTTCTAAAGAGTTTGGCTAATAGTTCAATTTCCTATGCTTTGCTAGCACTTCCATTTCCCTGGTTCCTTTATTCTACTGCTAACCCTGTTATCACCCACCAAACTTCCTTTATCATTTCTTGGAAATTTTTCTTTTGTATACCTAATGTCTCAGACCTCTTTCAGATTCCAAGGTGTTTTTAATGAGAGTCGGTGGTACAGAACAGTTATTTACAGGACCTGTGCATTACATAGCAGCACCACCCCTTGGATTGTCTACCTAACACTTCCATAACCCATCCAAATCCTCTGCAGCCTTAAATTCCACCTCTTCTAGTCCTCACTGGCCTTCCCTTCCTTTCCTGAACAATCAAATGTACTTTGGCTCTATAATTGCTTTGTGATATGTGGAGGATCTTTCCCTAGGTACACGTCTTGTATTCCCCCCACCCTTCCACCCACTTAGCTTAGGTGAAGGGACAGAACGATCTACATCCCTACCCTGGACAGCTAAGTGTAACACAGTGTCTTATACATAAAATGTTTGACATAGTGCCTGATTCTATGACATTTAATTATCAGAGAAAGGGGCTTATTTGCATACTTTATATAGGCTCTTCTTGCATTTTCTCCTACTCAGTTGCTCATCTTTATTCCTAAAACCAAACACTATTTGTCAATGTGGAATTAAAGAGAGAGAAAAAAAAAAAAAACTTTAAGCAACCATAAAGAAAAAATGCCTCTTATTGGTCAAATTACCCTGGACCTAGGAAGATCAACTGTGTTTGGTTTCCCTGAGACTGAGAGGAGTCATGGGACATAGCGCTTTCTGCACCAAAACTGTGACTGTACCAGGCAAACTGAGATGGCTAGTCAACCTACCTGGACCCTACATTTTTCTATCTGGCTACAGAGGCTTATTTAATTAGAGTACAATTCTTTATTTCACAAACAGGAATAATTATCTAATCACAGAATCACAGATGCTGTAGGTTGAAAAAGATTCAATAAGCCCGCGTCTTAATTTTACAGATTAATGAGCTAAGGACCAGAGAAAGGAAAGTGACTTAACAAAGCTCAGTGTATCCATACCTATTGTTTTCAAATCCTTTGCTCTCTTTTCACCGTGATCCACAATTCTAACCCAACAGTTAAAAATCAAGTCTGTGGTTACCATTCAGTTAGGTACTGTGGACAGTGTTTAAAGTATAACATGAGAGGTTTAAATGTGGTCAAGAACAAAAAAACTAGCAGGCATTACACAGCTAGTATAGGTAGCCAAATGCTAAGTTCTGTGATGGCAACCAATATACTAAACTGAAACATACCAGCTGATGAGACTAATAAAAATTTCCATTTAGTGAGCACCTGCTTTTTGTCGGATATTGTGTTGGGCCATTTAGGTCTTTTCAACTGTCTGCAAAGTAGATATTGTTAGCCCCATTATACAAATCAAATGATTGTAGTCCACTGAAGTGAGGTTACTTGCCAGAGGTCACACTGCTAGGAATTGATAGATTCTAAATACAAACTCTGATCTGTCTCATTCCAAAGCTGAAGTGTCATCCAATGTACCACACTGCTTCTCAGTATGAATGACCTTTACTCTATTAACCACCTTAATAATATTGATTCACTAGACATGAGTACTAGTACCCTAGAAAGGATTTTAATTTGTTAAATTATTCATTACTTTACTGACTCAACAAGCATTTATGGAATGCCTTCTACACATCAAACACAGGCAGGAGAGAAGAGGGAAAAGAGAGAGACAGAAAGGAAAAAATGTAACTACAGCATGATTCATTGTTTTTGCTCTCACCACAATTTAAAAGGGGAAGCTGTTGGGTAGTGCAGCACTGTGACATATAAAGGAGAGAGCACTAATTCTCCTTGAACTGAAATGGTGTGTTTTGAGCTGGTTCCTGGAGAAACCTCATTGGAAACAAGAGGAAGGGCAGGGCTTCCTAGGTTGAGTATGGTGCAAACGAAAAATCAAGCTGGAGGGAAAAAGCAAGGTGTCTTCAGAAATGATAATTCTGTGTCACTGGAGAGTAAAGACGTGTGTGTGTGTGTGTGTGTGTGTGTGTGTGTGTGTGTGTGTGGAGGGTGAAGGTGGGGAGATGAAGCTTTAGGTTAAAGACATTATCTACCTATTAATAGCTAAGGAGTTCAAACTTTATCCTGTGAGTGATTTAGACTAAGATATTTTTCTTTCTTTTTTTCTGTTGTAGATATGATTGTATTTTTCTCTCCTGCTATGAAATACTGCACAATTATTTCAACAAATTTATATGTATCAGGAGTTTATAACATAAAAATTGGAGGTTGGCCCCTTTCTCTATCTCACAAACTCAGAGTAAGAAAGAAACCTGATTAGTTTGTATTTTAATAATTTTATGAGAATATAGAAAATGATAAAAAAAGTGAGTGACAAAGTGTGCCTATTCTTTTTATCTTCTTAGATTTGATGAAGCTGAGTTCAAACCATCAAAAGAAAAATACTAAAAATAAATTAAACTCAACTTTCATCAAGTATTTATTTTGAGGGCTTACTGTAAGCAAGGCACTGAAGTAAACATAAACATATTCAGGACAACATTCCTACCATCAATTATTTTACAATCTAATAATGGACAAAGGATCATGAATAATGAGAAACTACCGTTTCATTTGGACCTCATCAGTTTCAAACATTTTAAATAGTCTCTAAGTGAAGTCATTCTTTTTTAAAATAAATATTTTTAATATTTGGCACAGAGGAAAACAGTTCCCTCTTTAGTTAACTTTTCTAAGTTGACACTTTAAGAAGAAAATGATGTCTATGTATTTTTGTACTCTCCCTTTCTGGTTTGCTTTTTTAAACAAATATTTTGTAATTTATGATATTAAAGTGTGCCTGGAATATTTATGGTCACTCTGTAGAAGCATTTACATGTGTTTCAGTTCATAAAGTACCTGTGTAAGTCTGTTTTTAAAAGGTTTTGTAGGAATAGATAATTTTTAAAATTCTTAATGCAGTAAATTTGATACGTAACATTCTACTAGATATCAAATATTGAATGACAAGAACAATATAGTGATCAAAGTACTAGGTATCAAGAGATTAAGATTAAACTCCTAGGTTTGCCACTTACTAGCTGTACAACCTACTTCATTTAATAAATGAGGATAATAATATTTGCTTTCTCTACCCAGCAAAGTTCACAAAAGCATCAAATGACAAAACTCATGATAAAAAGCATTTAGAAAATTGACAATACTGTATAAATAAAAGATACCATTATAATAACTGATCTTTGTTAAAGCGACCCCAAGAATCTTGAAAATACCAAAATGCCTGTTTAAATTTATTTCAACTCCACAGACATCTATACCTAGTAAATACCTCTTATATTTATTGTACTCTTTATTGTCAATCAAAGCAAGATTCAATTAGGATTTATATAATTATTGTATTGAGTAGTTTTTTAGTATTCCTACAGTCAAAGCCCTGGCACATATAACAGCACTCTCCCAGAATACTTTATGATCTAAAATGTCAATTTCTTCTTGGGGCATTTCAACTAGATGATAACTTACTATAATTGGTCTGAGCTTGTTGTTTTTTTTTTTTAATCTATTTAGCACAACATAGAGAAAACATGTCAGCACAGACTAATCTGTGTGTTCCCATCAATAAAAATAACTTAAGAAAAATAAAACTCACAGTTGTCTTTTTCATTTATAGTTTTCTAAGTAAAAATAATTGAAAGTTAAAAGGTCAAACCTTACTGGCCTCTAAATAAATCACAATGTCTGCAGGAAATAATTGCCATCATTATTTAACATGAATAACAGGATCTCACCTCGGTTATTATTTTGCCTCAAAGTGATTCAGATGTGTGAGAAAGTTTGGTGAAGGGTTTTAGTCTCAAGAATGTGGAACATATTCAAACTCTGTCTGTAGAGAAGTGGGGGAGGGTAACAAATGCCAACAGTAGTCAACTAAATGCGTCTGACTTGGCTCAAATGTACTATTATGTATTCCAATACAGATGAAAATGGAATACAGCACAGAAACAGAACGGCCATGTGTGCACAAGACATCTGGCAACCTAAATTTCACATGAGTAGAAGAAAGCATGAAATTTTATAACCACAAAGAACAGAATGTCTGAAATGCTATAGCTCAGTTCACTGCTTTTCTTAGTCTTTCACATTGCATTTTTCCTGTCAGTTACACCACAGATACCACATAATAGGCTGCAAGTGAATCAACTGCACTACCAGTGAAGTTCTGATTATTCGAAGAAAAGCTGGCTGAACACCAGTAAATTAAAGGAATTCCCAAACAGCTAAATACCAAATATTATCCTTAAAGTTTCTAATTAAAAATTGCAATAAGAAGCATTTCTCCTCACTGACTTTCCATAAGGGGAAAAAAGAATGGGTCAGAAAGCCTTACACTCATTTAATAACTGTGAAAAGCCTTTTCGAACAATAAAGATACTATTTTACAGAGGAAGAATGAACAGACAGGCAAGAGCTAAGTAACTTTAATCAGACTGCATGATGAAGTCCAGCGAAGAGCACAGGAACAATCAGGATTCCTAGATTTTAGTTTTAGTTTCTAACTTGCCCTATGACCTTGGATTAGTTAATTGATCTCTTTTCTGAAACCCAGTTTCTTCACAGGAAAAATTATGATAGTAATGTCCATGCTGTTTACCTTTATAAAATATTGCAGAGTAATTTGTTCACTGAACACTTGTTAAATTCCAATTATATGTCAGACACTGGGATAGGCTCAAATGAGATAACAAATATCAAAAGAGCAACCCCAGATATAAGCGAGAATATTATTATTGCTCTAAAGGCTACCTAACCCTCCAAAAGAATATAACTTTTGCAGAGAGAATTAATAAACCGAGACTTCAGTATTACATTTCCTTTTGTATTTTTTATTGTAAGAAATTTCGATTGTTACCTCATACCTGTCTAACCTATAAAAATTAACAGAATTACATAAGAATTTTTTTCCTCCCTACCAGATGTGCAAGCTCTCAGGTTGGTTATCATTTAAAAGAATGCAAACATGTACACTGCATAGCAACTATCACTGTTACTACTAGTTCTGTTCAGTCATTTTTTTTTTTTTTTGCATACTCATAAATAAGAGAAAAGGGACCTAACAGGTAGTGAGCACCTATTGTTGGCCACACTCTGTGGGGTACTTTACCTGTAAAATCTCATGTAATCCTAACAAACATTTAGCATGGTATATATTATTCTTCCCATTTTATAGATCCAGAAGCTCAGACAAACTCAAATTTGTCTCTCTCAAATCCTGTGCTTTTTCTAGCTCTTAGAAAGAATACTGGAGCTGGAATGGGCTATATTTATAGATACAAAACCTGCAGTCCAGAGAAGTCAGATTCTCCACACAGGCCACACAGCAAGTTACTGGCAGAACCAAATCTAGAATGCATGTCTTTTGTTTTCTGTTCTAATGTATTTTCCCAATAAATTTCACTAAATTAATATTGTGTCAACTTAAACATATTCACCAAATATAAAAAGTTAATTAAATGAATAAGAAGTTAAGTGGTATTATCCTTAAAGTTTCTAGTTAAAAATTGTTTTAAACAGAAACAAAATTTGAAAGGA